CCCGCGGACTCATTCACCCGGTCCCTCGCGGATACAGCTACCCGCCGTCCTCGGAGAGTCGGGCACTCTGGCGGACAGCTGCGCCTGCGATGAAGGTATCAGCCTCTTAGAGCCATTTAACCCGACAACTCCCCCCTCCCAAATGTGCCTGCTGATAAATTATTCAGAGAGCCGGACGGTGGCCGCGGCGCGGCACGGAGAGGGAATCCTCGTGCCTGAAACACCGCTGCTAGATATGTTACCAAGCAGCCGAAACACCCGGCACACGCAGTCCAAACACCCGACACACGCAGCCCAAACACCCGACACATGTCCCTATGCAGACTGAAAAGCAGGGCTGTTTTCACGGTAAATCCGGCTGTTTTCACGGTAAACCCACATTTTCCCTCCCGGGCGGCCAGACTCTCTAAATGCCAGATAGGTTAATGGGAAGCTTCTGAATTTGCAGCAAAATAAGGTGAAGCAGCTATTTACAGCCGGGTTTCTGCAGCAAGGGCTGCTTCTGCAGCGTAACCCACACCCCATACACTGACCCGTTATCCCCGAGGCTGCCCAGGTGCCTGCTCCCCCTACCCCAGGCCCTCCAACACCAGGCATGCCATCTCATCTGTAATTCAGACAGCTGTGTCCTCGCAACGTGAAAGGCTGGCTGGATATAACCTGTACGGGGGGGGGGTTCAGCTTTTCAGGTCCCAGGCAGAAAACCCTTGAGGCCAGACTGGAATATACATCTGGCTTATTCGTCCCGGGGGAAGGTTACTGTACTTCCGCACTGCATGATGCCAGAGTCCCAGGAGAAGGAACGGAGGTGCTTTATGATGTTCCACAGGGGGCAGGATCATGTGCGCCCCTTGTTGGGGAGAAATAACCATCACAACCCTCTGTCTGCCAGTATCTAGAGTATAAGCTCAACAGATCTCCATTATTACCCAGACCTGTTCTATCAGACCTTGCTTTCTTTGTGGGACTATTATTTTTCTCACTTCCTCATTTCTCCCTGTGAAACGTGCTTTTACGCTGATGTGGAAATAAGAACAACCCACCCCCAGATCATTTTTCCTAGCAGATCATTTTTAAATGCCTTAATGGGCCTGAGTCCAAGAGGAAAGTCTGTGGATTTTACCTTCATCTAACTGCCTCTACAATCACTTCTGATCCCTTCTTCTGATCATAACAAGGTTCCTCGCCTCTGTATTTCTCACCTTCCATCCTACAGTCCACACTTCCAGTCTTCTCAGAAGGTCATGTTCATGGGATGGGGTTAACATGCATTCTGCTTTGCTCTCAGGCCTCACAATGAAGTCATTTGGTTGCTAAGAGGAGAAACTAGGGGAAAGTTAAGTATTTTTTCCCCTCCTGAAAGGTTTTCTCATAAGTTGGGGGCTGGGGTCGCATTCAAGTAAAGAAAAGCAGATAACATGGAAAACTGAACCTCAGGTCATCTGAGTGCAACTAAACCAAGAATCACTGGGTCAGAGCTAAGTGACAAGCACAGGAATTGCCCAGGGGTTAACTGGACCAGGCTTCATCTGTGTCACTGGTTGGGCGGAGTTTGCTGCAGTCAAACGGGAAAGGCGATTGGCCGCTTGAAGGTCAGGGTTCATGTTCTCATGGGCTTCCTGCTACGGTGCCCCTGCACGTGGCACTTTCTTGAGGCTGCCACCACTGAAATCTGCCAGCTTGTATAGAATATGGAATGATTGAGTGACTCTGAGAGGAACTAACCAAATCGTAATAGCACCAAAATCCTGAATGATGGCAGATAAGCAAACAGGATAATGAACGTAAACGCTAATGCTAATCTACAGTGTTAATGCTAGTATTGGGTGACCCAGAGCCAAGGCTTCTAGATCCGGAACATGTTAACATGCGAGCCGTTTTGGATGAACTGTCAGCAGAGTTTCAGCAAACAATGCATAAATGAAAAGGTTATCCAGCTTCATCCAGCTGGACACGCCTCTCATTAGAAGCTAGCATGGCACGTCTCGCAAAAAAGACAACTTCATTACGCACTGAGCTGCAGGATAAAGGTGACAGACGTACCGTGGACTTTCGAGACGAGCCCATAAAGACGACCATATTTCCGACCGGCCAGCTGGCAGCCGTTTCAAACCGATCGATCCGCTGGCATGGCAGTTAGCGCCAGGACAAACGTGTCGCATGTGGGTCGCAGCCCAGTCATTCCAGCCCAGTCTACCATTGGTGCTTGATGTCCATGGTGAACTCGAGCTTCATGAATGCAAAAACGGGCGCCAGTCAGGTTGCAAATTGCTGTTATTAGCTCATCTTTGAAGAAACTGGACCCGGAGGTGATCCGCTTTGTTTAAACGGAGAGACGGTGCTGATGGCGAAGCGTTTTCATCCAAGGACGCTCCTCCTGCCCAGACCGGAAAGGTGGCACAGAAGCGAAACAAAGGGCACCTTCTCCCTTTCGCTTCTGTCCGATCTTTCTGCGCCCATGTCCGTCTGGCGCGGTGCGACTTTAAACTGCCGCTGGCACGACGGCACCCCGTCCTCGCCTCCCTGGTCCAGGGCTCAGCTGTTTCCGATGCCCGCGGCGACACGCCAGGCTTGTGGCCTGAGGCCTGTGGCGCTGTACCCTGGAGCAGATGGTGGCACTGGGGATCGATCTCGGCAGAGAACTGATACAGGCAAAATGATCAAGCGTAGCTACGAAGAGGAACATTTCATTCTAACAGTATAAAAAAAACCTTAAATATGGCACAATAAAATGAATTTAAGGCTTCAGGATCCTCTTATTTGGTCATGAAAGCCAATACATCCAACAGTGTAAGAGAGTATTTCATGCTGGGAGGGGCACAATTTAATTTAAATACTATTTATTATGGGGATGAATTAAACTAAATTAAGTATTGGGAGGTATATGCCCTCCCACCCCCTCCAGTTCCTATGCCCCTGAATAAGTCTGTAATTAACAAGTTTCCTCTCAGACTTCAGGTAATGGGCTAACCGGCTTGCAAGAACATCATTAGCCCCCCAGAGTTTCGAGCATCACTTTCGACGGACAGGCCTAAAGGTTAAATGTTTTGCTCAGTCGTCATGGTTATGCATGTGTTTACGGTCCAGCACCGCGACCGCGACGGATCCCGGGGCACAGACGGCAGGAGCGCGACCATATGCCCGGTGGAGGGCATGCAGAACACCGCCTGAGTAATCAGGAAACGAACAGGATTCCTTTCCTCTAACGCTCTGCGACTTCAAGGCTCAGTAATTGACAGGCAGCCTGGTGTATTTTTAGCTGTCGTGACCACGAAAACCCATAAGTGAAACAGTAGAAATGAAACATGCCTTGCGGTTTGCCAATCCCCATTTTGTTCTAAAAAGACGAAAGCCCACATTCAAAGTTCAAAGCAGAGCAAAACGGGACAAAAGACTCCCTATTAAACGCTACGCAGAACTGATATCAAAGACTCCGGAAAGACTGAATTGCACAATAGCACTTGTGCTAGCAAATGCTACGCTTATGGGCTACTGCCTAACAGCTATTCTTATGGGCTACCAGCTAATGAAAGCTAGCCATATTGGCTACTTAGATCAGTAAATTATGCATGAATTTCATTACACATCACAGGGCCCAAAAAGGTCTAGTGCAGGCTGTTCACTTCATGCAAGACAGTGATTGCATGCTGAGATGCTTCAAAACGGCAGCCATTACCACCATCATACCCTGCCAGGTAGCCAGCAGATCGATTCCACATGACATCCCGCTATGAAGCCCGACAGCAGCCGCCTAGTAGCTGAAAGGCTAATGGAAGGAGCCTAAGGCAATAAACGTTTCCAAAAAACGTTGGGGGTCCCTCCTCCCAAAAAGTTATATAAAAACAGACAGTATGACCTAAGAAGTACCTTTGTAGACAACTGGAATTATAATACATCTGTCAGGTAAGAAAGGTCTAGGAATCTTTGTAACCACATTCCCTTTTAGAATGGCCACCCAACATTCCAGCAAATTCATTGCGGAATACGTACTTTCTTTTCACTCTGTTTTCTTTATTATCACCCTGCAAGGATGCATATTACAAAACTCTCATATCCATGACTAAAATTCTTCATTACAAAAACAACCTTGCCTTCAAAATGGAGGTCTGTTATGTTATTACAGTACTGCATTATCTGGCGTGGAGAACACAAGCACGGCCCGCTTTCCCCAAGTCATCAATGTGGTCGGCGTAATAACCACTTGCTGTAGAGTGCTACCAAAAGCAGTGGTGACTGCAGAGGCTGACTATGCACCATGCTGTGGGGCTCCCCCGTTCTCTGGGATGGGGGAGGGGAGACCAATCTCAATAGGACCATGACTCCTCAATGAGGAAAGGAAGGGTCCACATTCAAAACGCAACTCAGTCATCCCAAGAGCACCGCTGAACACAAACGGGCAACAGCTCCAGTCATTTCTAGACAAAAGAACCCATACACTCAAATTCCCAGAGGACCAATGACCACACTCCCACACACCGAATACTAAAACAGTCCACAGGGAGCTGAAATGCAATGGAAATGATTTGCCCCAGATTCAGTCACTTCCTTTACAAGCCTCCAATCTTAGTTGTAGATGACGACCTTCATCGCAGCCAACAGGGTGACCAACCATATCACATCATAACAGGTCTGTGTGTTTCATTTTTGCAAGATGAGAACAGAATAAACAAGGACTGCGGGTGTTTAAACTTAAGTTAATCTTTTACTGCAGTGGTTCTCGTGTTTATCTGCAGAAGTCGCACATCGCATTAGGAAAGACTGATAAGCCAGTCTGGAGACACCGAAAGAGAAGGACGCTGAAATCTTGGTGGAACAATACAGGCTCTTGAAGATCTGCCCCACCCCCACCTCCAACTGAAGCAAGAAAAGCCCTTGGTTACCTTTCAAAGTGAAAAACAATCAACACAAAAGCCCAGCACAAAAAAAAAAATACACACACCCCTGATGACGTGTCAGGTAGCCAGTCACCAGAGAAGAAGAAGTGAAAGGACTCAGCTCACCTTCTGTAGACTAGTCGGGTTGAGTTGCGTTTTGTCAATTATCTTCACGGCGACCTAGGAATCAGACACATTATAGTCAAGAAGGACGGTCTCTCCTGCAACGCAGAGCTATGAGTCAAAATTGGTCAAAGCAACAAGAACTTTCTAGAGTCAAATGATTGTGACACTGATGATGGAGGGCTTTGTTGTGGGCTTACTCCTGGAACCCAATGAAAACGTCACACACAGAGCTCTTATGTGCCAACGGAGACATCCTTTGCCAAACAGGGATACAGTACGGAGCAATACCCAGTAAGGGCACGGGACAGTGTTGGTGAGCCATTGCCTTCATCTGCTCACATGCTGGAGAGATGGGCAGACCAGAACCATGCAGGCGCTTACACCTTCAAACATCAGCCGACTTCCTGGAATGATGATAAAAAGAAGTTTCTAGGCCTGCAGAGTCTAGGGAGAAGACTTACCGCTCCAATGCTGCAATAGTGTTGGGATCATCCTATTGATCTGGAACCAAAGCTATGGATCACAATAATTCCAATGCAGTGGAGCAATGTTTCAGTGTTTCATGAGCTGGGGGATGGGAATTTTTTTCTCCCACCGTAGGTTGGTGGGACCTGCACCACTGGTCTCTCTCTACCTTGAGATGAGAGAGCTGGGAACTGGCCTACAATCGTTTACTGGTGTGTAGTCGGTGGGGGATTTGGACCAATCAATGGACTTTTTACACCCCCCCCCCCCCGCTAAAAAAATTCAGAAGAATAGCAATGTTCTGTAGTGTGACCACTATGAGACCGAATAAGATGCTTTCGAACCAGGTTATCAGCCACCCCACCCCTGATCAGGGGTAGATGATCTCTGGAAATTGACAAATATCTGGTGCCTTCCTGTTGCCCCATTAGCCGAGCAGATGCCAGAAGCGAGACAATAGCGTGAAAAGAGCGTGAGGCTTGCTTTGTGTTAGAATGATAATATAGAAATGATCTTATAGATTGACCACTGCTCATACAAAAGCAGGCCGAAACCTGGAGGACAACCAAAATCACCACCCGAAGAATCCAGACATTCATTAACACCTGTCTCAGAAAGATTCTCCACATTCGCTGGCCAGACACCATCAGTAACACCAACCTATGGGGAAGGACCTGCCAACCTTCAGTAGAAGCAGAAATCTGGAAGAGAAGATGGGGATGGATAGGGCACATCCTACGTAAGCCGCAAACCAGCAGTACCAGACAGGCTCTCAGATGAAACCCCCAAGGCGAGCGGAAGAGAGGCCGTCCAAGAAACACCTGGCGAAGTGACCTCGAGGCAGACATCACAAGGATGGGCTACACCTGAAGTCAACTAGAAAGAATGGCCCAGGACAGAAACCTCTGGAGATCTACCTTTGGTGGCCCATACCCCGGAAGGAGTGGAGGGCATAAGAAAGTAAGCATACAAAGGCAAAGAGTGGAATTCCCCCTTTTCAGGTGACTCGGCGAATCACGAGTCACCACGGGGCAGGACTGAGCACATGGAAACACGGGCACACTCACCTCTCGGCCTGTCAGCACATGCCGCGCCAGCTTCACCTTGGCAAAGTTGCCCTTGCCGATGGTCTTGAGGAGCCGATAGTTGCCGACGTGCGGCTGCTCGTCGGTGGTGGACGTGACGGAGTTGCGGCATCGCGGCAGGCTCTGGCGGCTTCCGGACTTGGCCGCCGGGGTGTGGGGCTCATGGTGGCCGTCCACAGACGAGTGCTGGGGGGGCGTGAAAAACAGACAGATGGAGATGACTTCAATCCGTCCCGCATTAGTAGTCTCACGTCATTTACTTACCGGGGAAACACCAAATGCATGTACTAAACAGCAATGTTGGGCCAACTCAGCGTTACCAGATCAGGCTGAACTGATCAGGGGGCCGGAGTGAATCCCAGCAGGTGCCTATGAGAGGAAGGTCGTTCAAATCCCAGAGTCAGCACAGTGATTTAAGCATTGCACCCTTGAGCAAGGCCCTCAGGGACTGTCACACCCTGCTTTCAGTTGTACATCGCGTTGGATGAACCTGACTGATAAATAAAGAAATTGCACAAGGAAGGTAAACCTGCACAAGTATGATATGATGTCGGACGCGAGATCCCACTAAGCACACTGGGAGCAATCTAGACATGGGTCACAGAAAACCAGAGAGGCCACCATCCGCTAATTCGGGTCCAGAAGGAGGAACTAATCTGCTGCCCAAGAGAAGCAACCCAGATGGAGAGATATGGGTTCAGTCTCATCAACCACAAAGTCTTTGATAACAGGTAGAGTATTAAAGTCAGGGAAGGCACATGATGAAAACCATTTTTCATCACCACTCTGCAAAAAATTAACTGTTAAATTATGCACCAACTAATGTAGTTTGACAAAGAAGCTGGAATTCCCTCGAGGGGCATCTCAAAAGAATGGGATCCAATTTTTTTCCCCCAAGACTGACATCAGCATTGGCTGGTTCGGAGGCGTTTCCTGTTAGCGGCCATCTCTCTCTCTCTTTTCACTGCAGCCATAGTTGCTGCAGGTCATTGAAAAGTCACGGGTTCCTGCTCAACGCTGGATCTCTGTAGAAAGGACAGCCGTTTTTCGTCTGCTTGCATGTCAGTCTGTGATGTTTGACCTTCCTAAATGCAAAAGAGTTTGCAGTTGGATTTATTACCAAGAAAATTAAGTTTTGGAAAAGCCCAGCTCAATCGGGGGCAGTGTTTTACCCCGTGGGATGCACCTGTGACGGGAAGGCCGCCGGTTCAAATCCTGCGGTCAGCAGAGTGATTTCACCGTTGGGTCCTTGAGCGAGGCCCTTAACCCCCAATTGCTCCAGGTTGACCTTGCTTTCTCAAATGTACGTCACGCTGGATAAAGACATCTGATTCATCAGTGAAATGAGTTAACTTGTGGTAGTCGTCTTTCCGTATTATGCGTGGTTATGATTGCTGTATTGGAAAGGGGTGCAAATGGCTATCAGATTAGCAGCAAATGTCATTCAATTTCCCTCGTTTTTTTGGATATAGAGGTTATTTCCTGACCAGAAAATTCACCCAAAACCATCTGGGTTAAAGAACACAAACACTTTTGACAGTGACTCCATCCCTCTCTAACAGATGAGTAAGGAATTCCAGAGTTAGAAACTGTCGACTAAGAATTACTAATCAGCATGGTCGCCCCTCCCACAGGAAGTTAAAAGGGGGGGGGGGGGGCTCTTTCTGGAAGAGAGGTCCTTAGATCGATGTGTTTACTTCCTAGAGATGTTACTCAAAGTGGCTTCTTTTCACAGCATAAAGCCAAGAGGGGAAAAAAGGACCTCAGCCCAGGTGGCCAACAAAATAGGTTTCCTGGAACATTTATGTAAACAGCAGCGAAGATGAAGCAAACACTGGCGGGGATGGACTTCTGGTGCAGGTGGCAACTAGGAGAAGCCAAAATGAGGTCAAGCAGCAGTAAGATAAAAAATAATGAGAAAAAAAGAAACTTTAAAAGCCAATCATTAAACAGCATTAGTATTTATCTTTCAGCAAAGGTTATTTGAACAGAACTGAACAACTGCCATGGATTATTATCATGGATGATGAATGATGATGATGATGATGATGATGATGATGATGAATGATGAATGTTTGCCTTTTGTGAACAAATGCAGTGAGAAAAGCAGCAGGTAGGGTAGTGGAAAAATAAGATTTAGCATCCGTGTTCAAACTGAAAAGCATCCCGTATACCAGTGTTCCTCAAAACAGCGACGCCCAGCCGTGCACAATATGTTTACAAGCCACTCAACTGAAAATGCCAACAGGTTGAGTTACGCTAAAGTTTCGAGTCTCAGAGAGAACTTACAAGCAAGGTCATTAACTTGAGTTGGCTCAGTAAACACACTACATAAAATCACGATCCCTGTATTTCCGAAGGGAAACATAAATTAGCAAGCTGCCTTGATGATAGTACAGACAGTCCTTGGATTAAGAAAGTCCTATTATATCGAAAATTCGTGTTAAAGACAATACCCCGTAATAATGAACGCACAGGCTACTTTGCGACACTTGTGAAAACATTGCATGACTTCAGCAGTTCGTCTGCTCGACGTATAGTACAGTGCTGTATGTAATTACTTTTATTATTATTATTATTATTATTATTATTATTATTATGTGCTGCATGGTTGACTTAAAGATGTGGCATAACACAAACAAGGAATGACTCAACTCCCCAGTTTTATCAGATTTCTTCTTCATCCCTCCATTTTTAATTGACAGTTTTTAAAGGTAAGGTTTTGGTGTCTTGTTCTGAACCAAACTGGGGTCAGGAAATCTGAACGCATACAAAAATGTGGACAGTCCTCTTGATTTCTTTTTTTAAATTTTTTCTTTGATGAATTTCATTTAATGGGAAAAAAAATCAGTTTTTATTGAACAAAATTCTAGCAATTATGCAAGGTCTTGCTTGCCATCTGCCGCAAACAGTCACAGGGGCCCATGGTAAATCGTATCAAAATGGCCGCACAGAGCCGCTGGCAGACCGTCCCGGGCGGTCACATGACACCCCGACTTCCCGGCCTCCGTGCTCCTAATCGCTCTCTAATCCTGACACATGTGAAGCTTAAAGGGAACACCTCGGAGCCGTGCTTTGTCACCGCAAACAGACCCCTTCTACTCCTGGATTTTCGCACAGATTTATTTCACACCAGTGAGGAACGGCGAATTCAGGGGAAAAAATAAAACTATTTAAAACATGCTATACTGCTGGGAAAATTCACAACATAAAGAGACTGACTAATTCCGCCTTCATTTCGTTTGTACATTTAGAGCAGTGTCACTCAGCCCAGTCCTTGGGGACCCTCAGACAGTCCATATTTTTACTCCCTCTCAGCTCCCAACACACCTGATCCAGGTATTTCATGTCCTTGATTGGCTGGGAGCAAAAATGTGGACTGTCTCTGGATTCCCAAGGACTGAGTTGAGAAACACTGATTTTGAGGTTTTGAGGTATGAACACTTATCCCACAGATACCCTAAGCCAGACTATCTCAGAAGCACCATTTACCCCCTTTCCCTCCTGAGCAAATGTTTACAGGCACTATGCTGAAGGTGCACTAACTTGCATTCTGTTCCCAAAAGCCCAGAGAAAACCTCATCATATCCCAAACAACATCCTCAAAGAGCCTCCTGCCAGTTAAGCCCCACTTGGCATCATCCTTAACAACAGTATCCATGCACCAGTACTACTGTGTGAAAGAATGGTCTCTTGACATTTGCCACGAAGCCCCACACTAACATCCATCCATCCATCTTCCAAACACACTTGTCAGAGTCGGGGGGGGGGGGCTAAAACCTACCCCAGGCAACACAAGGCAGTACACTCCTGGACAGGATGCCAGTCCATTGCAGGGCAGACATAAACTCACACACCCAGTCACAAACTACAGGCACCAATTAGCCTAATTGCATGTCCTTGGACTGTGGGAGGAAAGTGGGGAAACCCGTTTGATGTGGGGGGAACATGCAAACTCTGCAAACACGCAGAGTGGAAGTGGGATTCGAACCCACAACCCTGGAAGTGTGAGGCAACAGTGCTAAAAAAAAACACTGAACTATACTTTATTGCTGCTAGAAGTCTGCCCTGTTGGCCCAGTAGGTAGGACTGCTGCCGCGGGAGACCACTGCATGTCCAGCAGGATCGCTACAGTACACACGGTATTAATTACCATCACATGCTGTTCGGGGGCCTCTGCTCTATAGTGGTTTCTCATGCATGTCAGAGAAGGGGGGGTTTAGAAGCCAAAACTCCGCCCAGCAAGAAATGCCTTGTTTATTATCCACAGACTGTAGGAATTCAGGTGACAGTCGTCACCACTTTGTACCTCTGCTGCCGTCTTTGCATTTTATTCCGTTCATGTGACACTTTTATCAAAGTAACTTACAGGGTCTCATGAGGATTTGAACCCACAACTTTTACATTGCTAGCACAATTCACTGCTTATCGACATATACTTTTGGATCACTTTAATTCCACCCTGATCACAGTGAAGACCAAGACCCCCCCCACCGTCTCCACACTCCCCAATTCTGATGCCGCAAGGCCGAAGGGGTCCATATCCAGTCTTAAGGAAATGTCCTTGGCATATTTTCTTTAATGTATAAATGACTTCAGTAAAAATAATAGGTCATTTCTATAAATGTCTTCCCGTGGTCTGCTGAGCTGTGTGCTTTGACGTAAGCAGCAGGCTACCTATAGTTCCGTTAAGATAATTAATGATGACGTCACAAATTGGGCAATCATCTCGAAGCCTCAGATCAGCTGGAACTATGCACTTGATGCACGAGGTGTGAACTTCATCCAGCTGAAAATACTTTAGATAGAAGAGTGTGATTCAGCGACATGATGTAGCTGAGGTTACGAACAGGCAGCCCACTGGTCACATCTGGACCACGCAAAGCCAACGTCCAGCCGGCAAATTACCCATAAATTTAAAAGCATGTTGCAAATCACTGATCTTCTATTTCAGACATTTAGGTCAGACAGAGAAGGTGCGTAAAAAATTATGGCAACAACTTTAAATGCTTCACAGCTTTTAATCACGGCTGAAATCTCGAGGACGTCCCGACTGCTGGGGACCACAGAAGATCGGATTTTCCTGCATCTGAAACGGGTTTTCTGAAGCTATGGGAAGTCTAAGGATTTATTTGCTCGAACCCACAGAATCAATTTCATAAGTAGCCACAGGAATGAGGGAGTCG